GTCTAGATTCAAACTGCAAATGGATAGCCAGTTTCTCCAGCAGCATTTATTAAAGAGGAAATCTTTCCCCCAGTGTACATTTTCGACCCCTTTGTCAGGTCAGAGATTTGAGTGTCATTAGGGTTGTTTCTATATCCTCTGTTCTCTTCGATAGATCCACCTGTCTGCTTTTGTGTCAGTACCATGCTAAGTTTAGCCACCAATGTGAAATAAGTGACTGCAATAAAATCTGTGTGGGTAACTCATAATGCTTGGTTTGACAAGTAGGAAATCATGTGAAATTGGGGTGGATGTGACAGTTGCAATGGATTGGCTTGGGGTCTGTCCAGGGGATTAATATTATACCACCCATGGAATGCATGGGTGGGTCTAAAGGTGAGATTTGGGATGTATATAGGGTCTTTTACGACTTCCTTTTTGCTACTGCTCCCATGCTGTTCCTGGCCACCTTGAACAACCATCTTTGCCCTGCCAATGGCCCTTAACTATGCTGTTCCTTCGTTGGAGCCAGGGAACCATGGACTGAATCCCCTGAAATAGTGAGCTAGTAAACCTCTTCTTCTCATGTTGCAGCTGTTTGATGTTGTGTCCCAGCCATGAGAAAACTCAAGTAAAGATACATTACAAGTGGTAAAAAAAAAAAAACATGGACAATTATTACTTGAAACATTAATGTATGACTGAATAATTTTTAAAGTATATGACATGTTCCAGTAACATTCTGTGCATAACAGAATGCTGCGCAGGGGTCCTTTTCTCTGCTGATTACTCCACACAGAAGAGGTGAAGGCTGGATTGCTAGGATTGTGCTTATTAGCACCCCAAAACTTCTGTGCTCTCCAAACGCTCCAGTTCTATGCTGAAGACTCTCAGTACAGTTGTGTAATCTACATTGGGATGAACCAAATGAAATGGTATTTATATGAGTTGTTGTAGGCAGAAAGAAGATGAGTGCACATAGCTTAGTTATCTCTGCCCTGTGGACACTAAGAAGGTAACTTTAAATGATCGTGCTTCCAGATTTGGAGACAGAAATCTAATGGAAACTGCTGCGTTCTGAATGTTTGGATCTCCTTACATCCACATGTCAGAACTCTGCAACTGTGGCTGTGGAATGAAGGTCTGGCCTTTTGAGGTGGTGGCTAGGAGTGGTCCCTTAAAAAATGACCTTGCAGAAGAGACAACAGGCCTTAGTCCCTCTTGTGTGGAGTTATCATAAGAGAAAATGAGCCCTGTAGCCAGTATTCTGGCAAGGGGACCTTGGCAGTAGCCCAGAGCAATCTCTGGTTTGTCTGTTGTCTATTCATTTTTAAAAAGCTTACCTTTTTTGGACATTTGGAATTCTTCATAAATTTCATGAATTAACAGCAAGCTCCCAGAAAAGTTAAGCGTCCAAAGTAGAAAGACAAATTTATGGTTCAGTTTATCAAAGCTATTGTATTTAGCCATTGCATGTATTTGACTTATCCTGCTGCCTGTTCTCCAGCTCCTTTCTGAGTGGGTGGTGTGTTGGGGTTACTCTCAGTGTTTTTAGTCCTTCACTGATGAATGGTGGGACCTGTGGTCTGTCTAGGAATGTTTATGAAATATCTCAAATCTAAGACTACTCCGGCATTGATCTTGGGGAGAAGGCTCGGGCTGGATTTGTATAGAAATAGCCCAAGGAGATTAACCCTCCACTTCAAATGGCAGCCACACTGTTTATGATCTCCTTTACATAATCCCCAGCTCTAAATTCATATATATGGACACGTGGGCATGTTATTTATTTAATTTCTCCCAGGAGTAATCCCAGGGATGGAGCAGTGATTGAAATTCTGTGCAGAATCAAAAGGAATTCCAAGACTTTGAATAACTAAACATACACTTATGTATTCTAATTCATGAGAGTTGCCTGCTCTTTGAACTAAGTATAAAAATCTAGCTTCAGATTTTCCCCCAGAATTCTGAAGGTGTCACTCAATTGTATTGTTTGCTATTTTCCTTTCCTTTCACATGATTTTTTTCCCTGAGGCAAGGTCTCAATGTGCTGTCCTCGAACTCACTGTGATCTTCCTGCTCTACCTCCCGAGAGCTGAGATTCCAGGCTCAGTGTTTTCTTTCATTGTCTGCTAAGCCTGGAATGTCTCTTCATATTTATGAAGTGCTAAGGTCAGTAAACTATGATCCCTAAGCTGAATTTACCTTGCCATATTTTGTGTAAATCTTTCTGTTTTCAGTTTCATAACTTTTGTTGTTATTTTGGGGGGTGATTTTTTTTTTTTTTTTTTTTTTTGGCATACCCAGACACATTCATTTTTCCCATTTTCTATGTCAGATTTCTTGTACAACAGTAAATTTGAGTGGGAGTTGGAAAAGAAACCTTAGACATGAAAATATTTACTTTTTGGATCTTTGTTAAAACTTTGTAAGCCTTGGCATTAGAAAAACTGCCAGCTTTCAAAGTCCTTCCGAGTGGATCTTGCCTATTTTCCAGCAGTTTTCTATATCTCTAGTGGAATTTCTGTCCCTGAGATATGCACACAGAAAGAGAGCTGCCTGCGGAATGTACACTGTGCTTTTAGAAGCACGAAGCCCAGATGCCAAAACTTAGCTCTGGTTGCTAAACTAAAATGTTCTGTTAAAACTTATAAACACCAGTAAGCCCTGCCAGTGGAAAAACCCAAGCAGCCTCTCTTCCTATATTCATGTTGCCCTGCTAATTGACATTTGTATCTGGGAATATCTGATTACTCTATTTCCAGAAAATATGGCTGCTAAGTTCAACTTACACAATTTAGCCTTCATGTGTTTTTTGGGGGAAAGGTGCTTCACTGTGGCCCTTCATTAAAAGTGGGAACATGGAGAGTAACAATGGCACCACTAGTTAATGCTTTTAAAATCTATCTAGTGTTCCATTGGCTCATTCTTCCTTTGTGTTGACCTCAGTACTGGAACCCTAATAACACCTAATCTGGAAGAAGCATCTTAATGAGTGGAACCAAGATCCGTGGATTTTCCTCTCCACATTTATAACCCAGTGTCACCCTGCTTCCCTCTCCACAGTATCTCAGAATCAGTGTTACCTCCAATGTCCACTTCCTCTTTTTAAGCCCTTCTTACAGAGACTTCTTTCTTGTCATATTCTTTTTGCTAAGCCAGCAACAACTTCTCAGCTGAGACTTCTAAAGGGATTTGACTGCCAAATGATGCACTTTGAAAACAAAAATAAGTGGAACTTTCACTAAGAATAAACACTTCAGATTATCTCTGCAATTATGAATTCCCTTCATTTTGCATAAAATTTAAGTCATCTTTATTTGAACCAATTAACCAGTGCTTTCAGTACCATCTGTATTGTGTCAGTTCCTGCAGGCACACAGGAAGTCTGGTTCCTGGAAGTCTGTTTCCTTGGGTCTGGAGCTAGTGAGTCTGGCTTTGGTGCTTGGGGTAAGTTCCTCAAAATGCCAGATCTCAGCATTCCCTCCTGCAATATCAATACCCACTTTATATGATCACTTAGAGTATGAAATGAGATTTAACAGAACCTATTATTTCAAGCCCATATATTGAGCCCAGCACTAGTAAGAACTGAGGATTTGGTATTATTTGATACTGAGGATAATGATGATCATCATGTTGAAATGATAGTTTAATATAATCCCATCCTTACCCACTCTGATGACATGTGTCAGTCTATACTCTGTCTATTGAAGTTTGAGCACATGCAGCAGGACACAGGTGAATGCATCCGTGGTCATGTCTGTCTTTCAGACAAGTGAAGCCACAATGCTCTGATATCAAGGCAGTTAAACGAGCAGTCTTCTTGCAGGTGCTCAAGAATAACCCCAGGAAAATGGCAAGAAGACAGCAGGTGTTCTGTTATCATGGATGAAAAGGGACCATCAGTATCAAACACCCTGGGAACATGCACAGCTAGCAGTAAGCATCCAGTGATAAACGGAAGTGTTTAAAGCTGCAACAAAATTCCAAGTATGTATTTTAAATCATTATTTATTCATAAAACCTGGGTGGTAAAATTATCATCACAATATTTTTCTAAGTACATATTTTAGTACCACAAAGGCAGTAATTATATAGCACAACTGATTTCTATCATTTATTTCCCCCAAAATATTTTTGAACACATATCTGTATTGAAAGAAAATGGTGAGGAAGGGGAGAAGGGACTGGGAAGTGTCAGACTAGGGAAAAATCAGCTTTCAATTGGGATCCAACCTGGTTGAATTTTATGTTCACATCCTGGAGTTCTATGAGGCTCTGTCTTTGCTGGGTTGGGCTCTCAAGGTGACAGGGAATGGCTCCATTATGGCATGTATCACTCACATAGCTAATATTTCCAAACTGTGCTTTGATCATTCACAATCCTAAGACCACAAGTGTCCAGTCTCATACACTTGAGACTATTTCTTAGGTATTTCCACTGCATCGTGGGAGAACATTTAAACTCATCTTCCTCGAGGGCAGTAAGCCTGGCTTCATGTAACCCCACTTCCTATAACATAAATTCTATGTTTTACAACTGCATCTGGATTAGTTTAATGTACCCTTAATAAAGTATATTTGAATCATGCATTAATTTATGTAATTTAAAATTCAAACTATCACATAAAGGTGCTACCATTCTATAACTATGTGTATGTCTGTAAGTAAGAGCAAAGCCATGTGTCTTCTTCACAAAGTACTCACCATGGGTCGTCACAGAGCTGCAGGCCCTTGTCATTAACTAAAAAGTGTAACTGTGTAACTCTTACAGTCATAGACACCTTCATTCTTATTGCCCAGGTACATTAACAATAATACTACTTCAGCAGAGAATAGGTACTGCATTTGTACACATAGAATAAATACATTATGAAACTATACTTTCATTTAAAAGCTGGCTCTTTGCTGGATGTGGTGCTGCATGCCTGTAATCCTAGCTAATCTGAACGGTGAAGCAGGATCACAAGTTTGGGACCAGCCCTGGCAATTTAAGAGGACTCTGTCATAAATTCTTTTTTTTTTTTCTTTTTTTTTTTAAGGTTTTAATGTATGATGTTCTTTATTTACAACTTTATTGGCAAAAAAGAAGAGGGAAAACACAGGGCACTGTAGCTGATCCCGTTGGGTTCATGTTCCATTTTAAATGTCCATCAAGTTGTCCAAAGATACCCAACACTGAATGTGCATGTGCAGTTTCCTTTCTACAGCACAGTGCTCACATCTAGGCAGTCTTTAAACCATATAAATACAAAGGAAAGAAAATCACTCTTTGAAAACTGCATCAAATTAAGGGTCTTTAAGTGTAGACTTACGTTGTTGGTAGTAACACATGCCCAATGGAAACCGAAAGCTGGAAAAGCAGTTACACTTCCTATTGAGAGGACAGGTACAACAATCATTTTCTGCAATGACCTTTATATTTCAATATTTCATGAACTACTATGAACTTACTATGAGATGGAGCCAAAGTCAGAGGAGAAGATGCAGGGAGGGTGAACACTCCTGTGTCAGAGGAGAGCAAACCCTCTAGAATCATGAGAAACGAACATCCTGTTGATTCTAGGTGAAAAATGAGTGCAGTCAATTTCAGCTCCAGCGGAGCCGACTCATCTCTTCCTTGACGAGTCTGGTGTCATTCTTCTAGATCGATTGTGTTCAGCTCTTCTTCCAGTTCACCCAGATCCTCCCCGGTGAAAAGGTTCTGGTCCACAGGACCGGCTCGAGGGCTCCGTTTTCTGGTCCGCCCACTTCACTGCCCTCCTCCAAGTCACTGCCTTCTCCATTTTCAGCTCCACCTCCAGAAGCTTCGCTGAGTTTGTTTTCGTCCTTATCTGGAGCGTATGTGCTGAATCTTTCGAGACTGGCTACAGTAACGCCTGTCTCATCTACATGTCTTGGATGTACAGGCTTAGGTCTGTCTTTTACGCTCATGGAATCATCAACCTCGTCGGCCTCCTCGTCGTGGTCACTGACCAGTTCAGGGCGGAATCCAAACACCTCTCGGCCACTGATCACCAGCGCCTTTCCCGCTTTGAAGTCAGCTTTCCTTCTTTCCATGTCTTGTTCAAGTTTGTCAATCTTTTCTCGTCTTTTCCGTTTCTTCCACGCAAGAAAAGACTCTAGAGTGATTTTGGTAACATTCGGGCCCAGAGCAGAACGCTTTCTTTCAATGAGATCTTTTAACGAAATTTCATCTACTTTCTCTTCTTTCTTTTTATCTTTTTTCAACACAAATCCAGGAGGAAGTGCATGCCGATACATACAATTATCACCCCCTCCAGGGCACACCCAAAACCAGCCATACTTGTTATTTTCAATAGCTTCAAGGAATGCTTGCAGACTATTTGAGTTTTTGTTTTTTTCTTTCCTGCCTCACCGTGCTTCTTGTTCACTACCTCTTCGAGCTGTTTCTCATCCCAATTATCCATTGTATCTTTTTCAAGTTCTTCATCTCTTGCATCAATGTAAACACTTCGTTTTTCACATTTTCTCTCCAAAGTCAGGTCGTGGGAAAACTTGCACTTGTCACCCTTCCTGCACTGGCCCTGCTTGAAGAAGGCACACACCACGGACTTGGGGTCTGCACCTTTACTTATTTTTTGAGCTGCGACAACAGGTTTGAGGAGCTCATTTAGCTCCTGCAATTCTTTCTTCTTGTCATCTTTCTTCAATTTCTTTTCAGCTTCACTTTGTGCTACCTGACATGGATTTTGTTGACCAAATTTAACTTGATGAGTGACAGCCTTGATAAACTTCTGTTGCTTTGCTCCTTTCTTGTTCTTTAGACCAAAAGTTTTGTCCTCAATAATCTTCTCCTTCTTTTTTGCTCCGCCTTTTTGCTGCCCCCCGCCTGAGCCTGTTTCTTGGGGGGCACTGCGGAGAGAGGTGGCACCGGCCAGACTTGAGGACAGGTGGATGCTGAAGGGAAATTTGGCACCTCAACAGGAAGAAGATGGGACCCTCTGTCATAAATTCAGAAAAAAGTCTGGGTCCACAGCTGTGTGATAGGGCACCTGTCTAACATGGGTGGCACCCTGAATTCAATCCCCAACAACACCCAAAAAAAGTAACAAAATAAAAACAAAGACCTTATTTTTTAGGTAAGAGGATAAAAAAGATAAAAGAAATTTATTAAGACATAATGTGATGGAGACGAACACAGGGAAACCAATCAGTTCCCGAAGTTGGTGGAATAGTTTTGTGTGGTTACAATTACAGAACAAAGGGAATGGGTAGAAGGACCCTCTCCCCCTGAGCCTAGGCATCCGAGAGTTGTGGACTGAGTAGCTGTGATATGACAGAAATAGAAATCCCATTATATTTCTAAGTTAATATCTTCAGCACAGTGCAGTTATCACTATAATTATCCAGGCTATACTTAGCAGTTTTATATCATTTTTAATTTGATCATTTTCTAAATTAAAAGTTGATACATTTTTTCCAAGTAAGCAGAATGAAATCTTTAAAACCGTTTCTAGCTATACTTTAAAAATCTCATTAAATATTTTGTTTGACTAATGCTCTTTCATCGTACAATGAGATACAGTATATTTTATATTGTACCTCGTTGCATGTGGTTGGTACACCCACCTGACACACTTTAAATGTTTTTAATGCCCCTTCCATTTGCATAAAATCTTACCTTATACAGGAATTGTTTCTGATTGGGCGTGGTGAGAGGACAGCCCTGGAGAGTCAGTGTCACTGTGAGGAGAAAGGTTACAGTTCCCAAATGAAAGGAATGTATTCCTGCCCAGCCAGTAGGGCATGGAGGAGATGCGACACTGCACAGGAGAGATGGGAGCTGGGGAAACTGGATATGAGAGTGCATCGTGGCTTCTCCAGAAAAATAAATATGTGTTGCTTTTGATATTCTTATAGATTTAAAACTTATATTTACATTTCTTATCTTTTTACATACAGGCTGTTTTAGTCAGGTGTTGTGCAGAGAATAATTAGAGTCAGGGCACAGAATTTATAATATTGTTTTATGATGGTCACCCAGAGTTAAATACAAACAAGTGTAGGAAATCTGTCTACCACACTCAGAATATTCAGCCAAGGGCTTGGATCCCACAGCAGTGTCCTGTATGAGTCCAGATAAGACCTAGAGCTGATGACAATGCCTCCCACAAATCCAACTGCATGTCTAGAGCCCATGAGAAGGACTCACACCAGTCTGTTTTATGAATCCACACTGAGAAGGACCAAAGGTCAGCAGTGGAAGCTAGAAAGTCTATACCAGCAGGGTAAAAGGGGCTGTGCTGGTAGGCTGAGGGTTCTATACTGTGGCCAAGAAGTCAGGCTCAAAATAAGAACCAGGGCTGCTCTGAAAAGTACCACAGCCACCCACAGGAACACAGAGGTCCGGAGCTCCTCTCTTGACGATGGTTGAACTCACACTATGGAAGCTAGCCATGATGAACTCCAGGAGAAACAACAGCTCAGAACAGCAACACTTAAAGAGAAATCACAATGCCCAGGTCTTCTTCTCCACATCTCTATTTATGTTGGCAAATTTCTTCAGGCAGAACATCCATGCTCAGCACCATGCTGAGTTAGTCCAGCGGTGTTAAGTTGACCATCAGTTGTTAATCCATAAAACAATTAGACAAGACCTAATAATCTTCTTGATACACAGGTGGTTTAGGAAATGTTAACCCTGTATCTTTATGTGATAAAAGGGTTCTCACAGACCTCCATATAGGAGGGACAGAAAAGAGGGCTGTGCATTTATTTTTACAGAGCACTGGCTGAATATGAGGGTTTCTATATGGATCACGTCGGTACATCTTATTTGAGTGTTATGTTTATAAAAAGAACAGTTCAGAATGGGCTTGAGGTCATTGTTATCTATTTCTGCTTATACATCCTTTGAAATAGTAAGTTAACACAAAAACTCTTCTGGTTCAGTTGCCTGTTTGTCAATGGATCTGTTGATTTTTTTAACCCTCTTTATCGGACCCCAACAATTAGACAAGGACTCTGAAAACAATTCTAAGATCCTAAGTATAAAATGATCTATTTAAAATTAATAAATTACAGTCATAATAACTATTGCAAACACATTTTCTATAGAAAAAACTTGTTTACAGATTTATTATGTAAGATTTATCTTAATATCTTAATAAATTTAACAAGCCTTTGTGGATTTTTGGAAATTTTTCTCTAATACACTGTTTAAAACAATGTAAATTAGTGATAACCAGAAAATCAAATTTCAAACTCTCTTTTATTTTATGAGTTTTAAACATCTGTAAACTTTTCTCAATGCACAATGTTTACTCTTTTAAACAGCTACTGGTATTTGTTTTTAAGAACATAATTTAGGCTTGATATATATGTATATATATCTTTATAAATGTGTTAAAATATAATCTAGGTGAAACTGAAAATTGTGAAAATCAGTATTTCTATGACAATGAAGTCAGGCAGATCTTATTACATTCATGAGATAATTGAATTTGAACCTTTAAACAATCGAGAGTATGGTAAACACGTGGATGCATATTTCAAATTGGTGCCAAGTTCCAAGAAGTAAGTAGATGTAAACATTTGGAGAGAGGTCACCAGACAAAGATAATGTTATATTGGCAGAACAAAATTCAAAAATGTGTCATGGTCAATAAGAAAATACATAAACTATTCACTTATATATTTTGGAGAAAACCTTGCTTCACACAAACAACTTTCACCCTATTCTATCCAGAAAATGAGAGGCTTTTTGCTGGAAGTAGAATGATTCTCAATTCTACAAACCCCACACCAAGCAGTCACTTTCCTAGTGAGAGGCTGGTGAGGGGACCAGACCGAGAAGCACCCCGTGATTCTGGGTTTAGGTTAGACCTGTGTCTGGTGTCTGACTAGCAGCATCTTTGTTTCTGGCTTGTCAGCTTCCCCAGGGCACAGGTGGGACAGCAGAGTGATAGGATGCAGAGCGGCCAGGATGAACTTTCCCCAGCTGGGATGGCCTGCGGTGCCCACTGTGCTGTGCACACTGATTCAGGGAGCTCACACGGATCCCTTCTGACCCTGCAGCCAGAGCCAGGCCAACTGCTTGGTTTCCACAGTGGAAATTGTTGGACTTTTTGGAGGTAACAGCACATGTCACTTCGGGTCTCCCTTTTAAAAGTGTGGCCTCCTCCCTCCAACGCTAACCCACAGTTAGTGCACAGAGGTTCATCAAATGCCACCCTGAGCACTCCTCCCAGTACAGGATACCAAGGCATCTGGCCTGGCACAGGGCTGTGCTGGGGTGAGGCCTCTGCCCTGCCTCCAGGGAGCAGGGACTGTTCCTGAGACAGCTGGTTTCCAGTCCTTCCTGAGAGCCACTGAGTTTTGATGAGTTCTGTTTTTACTCCCGTTTTAACTTGTATGCTATGGCTTCCACGTTCCTTCCATGTCCACAGAGGGTGAGTCTCATTTGCTGGTGGCCAGTGTCTGTGAAGAGCTTCAGAGATGAGCTCCAGGGGGCTTCTGTCTGGCCATACCATGAGTGGACAGCACAGCACTGCTGTGTCCCTGAACAGACACTGCACTCCGCTTGGTCACTGCAGCACCAGCTTCCAACTCCTTTGTCCTGTGCTCTAGTCATGCATCTTACTGAGGATGTTTCTGACGTGATGAGGGTGCTCTTGTGTTTTATCTACACAATAGAATATAATTCAGCCATAAAAGTCATAAAATCCTGTCCACTATAGCAGCATGAGTGCAACTGAAAGAAGCTTCACATTATGTGAAGTGACATAGGTCAGATCCACAAAGACGATGTTTCCCGACCTCATGGATGGAAGCCAAGAAAGGTGATCATAGAGGAGAGAGAAGAGGGGTTACTGCACATGGAGAGTGGGTGTGGGAGAGTGTACAGCTACCAAGGCATAGCGAGCTGGGCGGAATCAGTCCTCACGCTCAGTAACACAGGAGGATGATTCACAAGAGCTTAATGTAAGACTTGCAAATACTAGCAGCAGGAGTCAGTAGGCTCCAAACACAAAGAAAGGTTGAACCTTGACTGAGAGGGAAAGGCTAACACTGATTTGATCATTATGCACTGCGCACATACACTGTGTTACTGCATCATAAAGTACAAACAAGTACAGCTAGTACCTCAATTCAAAATGAATTAAGCAAAACAAATACATGTGCATCATCTGAGCATCTTTGGCCTATCTCACTTACCTGGATTCCCAGAAATCCTCAGAGTCCACAGTGCCTGGCATGGAGACCAGGAAAGCATAGATTAAGGAAATGTGTATCTCCTGAAGTTTGACTTGCGGGCTCAGTTAATGACACGGTCTAGGCTCACATCAGAGCCATGAGATCTTGAGTTCAAAATGGGTAAGAGTGTCACTGTACCCTTAGGGTTGCTTATATTACTTAGTGTCTGGAGGTGGGCCAGACAAGGAGGACACCTGTGCTGAGCTGTCTACAGCATCCTCAGGGTAGACACCCAGGAACCACATTGTCTGCAGACAACATGGGCACAGTGTTGTCACTGCAAGTCCACACCTTACCCACAGGTTCTCTCTCAGTGCAGTTTTGCCTGTGGGGTACAAACATACAATAGCACGTGTGCACCATCATCCATTGCGTAAGTGCTCATGCATGCTGTTGTCAGATATATAATTGCCTGTGTGCATTACGGTGTTACACAGCAGTTTCACCACTCTAAAACCTTCAGTGCACGCCTCTTCATTCACAAAGAACCATTTTCTAAAATATATCCACTAAATGAAGCAACAGGTTTTAAAGCCACATTCACATATAAACATATATGAACATTCACGATGTGTATATTTAAAAATTTATTACATTAAAGAGACGTTCCATCAAATTCCCATCAAGATGTCCCCCTCACTCTGAACACACTCAACCCATAGCCCTTCCCTCTTTCTGAAGCAGCTCTGGAGTCCTCTTTCACAGAGGTCTTTAACTGTAGTGTCCTGGAACCGTCATTGTTCTG